AGAGCTATCACTTGAGCCGCAGTCTTCACAAGGTCATCTTCAGTGCCATTTATGTTGTTTCGGTTGCGGCACCTTTTAAAACTCTTCCACACCATCTCACCTGGAATGGCCTCATATACCTCAAAAATCCACTTGTAGATTAGGACAATGTCAGGCCTTCGGACACGTCCTGTCAGCGTCAAGCTGTAGTGGCCTTGGGCCATCCACTCGGTGTAATTGAGCTTGGCATGCGCTTTGAAGGGCTTGTTAAGTGACACATCTATAGGCTGCAACACTGATGTCACTCCACCGGGTATAAGAACTAAGTCAGTGCCGTTGCATGAAAGGTGGTTCTTCACTTCCTCAGTTGTGTGGCCACGGAACGAGTCAAGAACGAGCACAGACCTCTTTGCAAGCATCGCACCGGGCGTCTTCTCTCATACCATTTTGACGCAATCCACGAACAAGTCACTGTTTATCCACGCGTTTTGGTGTGCGCGCACCACCACACCGGCAGGCAAAGGAACATTCAGAAGAGTTTCCTATTTAGGATGACATACGGTCGCAGTTTGGTGCCATCAGCGAGGGCACAGAGCAAGGCTGTGCAGCGCAGTTTTGTGTTATCGCCAGTCAGCACGCTAACCAAACTGCTGCCCGTCTTCTTAATTGTTTTAAAATAAAACAAGTTTCATCAGCATTGCTGATTTGCGAGAAAATGTTATCAAATCAATCTTTATTTCCCTTTTTTTTTTTGCTGCTTTCTCGGGTTAATTACATATCTTTGGTACTTGAGCAGCTTCTCCTCGTGAAAAGCCATCAAGCGTTGACATATTGTAGTCCGCCCTCTTATTGAGAGCCCTTGTCGCTTCATAAAGTGGTGTAGCCCTCCGCGGCTAGTACGGAATCCGTGAGGTAGGCAGGCCTCTAGCCCCCTCGACAGTCGCCATGCTTCCACTTGTGCCCCTCTCGGTCGATATGGCATGTCCCCTGCTTCTCACAACTTTACTAGCTGAACATTCAGGTCAGGGTTAGCGCCGGTCTTGGGGCCACGAAAGGATCTACGGTTGCGGTGCGTGGCTTGTAGGCTGTCTTTCTTCTTTCTCTTCAGTCGCACGCAGGATTCTTCCACATCGTACCTTCTTCCTGCTTCGTGATTCCCGAATTTCTCAACAACGGCGATGATATTAAGCTTTTGTTGCGCAGTGAACGACTGCCGCCGGACGCTACTTATGGTAACAGAATAGATTGAGTTGGGCTTAGCGAACAGGTCGAGATGTAGAGAACTGCATTTAAACCTGCATATAACGAACCTCCATATAACTAATTCCTCGATACAATATGGTTTTTCTATTCCCCACCGTTGCTCCAAAGAAGCACATACATTTGCGACTTCTATGTAACAAAGTAACAGTGGGAGATAACCTTGATATAACGAATTTTACCCCGGGGTTTGTCATTTTGGTATGAGCATGCGTTTTCCGCAGGCGCCCCGTTGCCGCCAAAGCAAACACTCGTGGCCTTGGTGACAACTGGCCGAGAGCGAGCGTTATTGCACGCGGGTGAGCACGAGGCGGGCAGGCGAGCCTGCGCGCCACGAGCTGGCAATGCCACTGTTCTTGCCGCCGCAGCGCATGCGCGGATGTGCTTCCCCCTTCTGAACTAAAGAAACTACTTAATTAACCTACTGAATTTTAAGAAATACTTGTTACAGAACATGGTGGTGACGACAAAAAACCGTCAAAAGTGTCCATGTAATTGCTACCGCAATAATAACGCAGTTTTTTACCGCTAAATAAGTGTTTTGGGTTAGCTCTGCCTTCAGTCCCTCTTTTGTTTAATTTGTGAGTTTATTTTCCGAATTTTTGTACCAAACCTGCATATAATGAAATCCTCTTTATAACTAATTTTTCTTGGAATTTATCAATTTCGTATTATCCAGGTTGAATTGTAGTGATATCAGCGAGGTAAACAGAGCTCACACTTGGCGACAACATTTCTTGACAGCACTGTGGAAGCAACAGAACCAAAATGCACGCCTGCAACCGCGCCAAAAGTAGTACTTAAATTTACTGATATCTCATTTGTCTTGTGGAAATAAACTCTGCTTTATTTGTTATTATTTGCGGTAAGTCGTAGGTAGGATACAGGAGTTATTCACTTTGCAAAAATTCCTTTCTTTCTATTTCTTATGCAGCATCACCTTTACGGCAGGCCTTTTTCCAAAGTAAACATGGTGTCAGTGATGGAAGGGCATATGGTGGGTGGTGGAGGGTCACTGTGCGGCCGCAAACGTCCAAAAAAACATACTTGTAATGTGAAAGTGAGGTTTACACTGAACAATCGAATTGTCTCTCCCCAAATGTTTCTCTAAACGCTTTAACGAGGCAAGCAAGCGAAACCGAAATTGGCGGCACATTACCGCACTACTTGCGGAGCAACACGAATTTGCGGAAACCGCCTCTATATCCTTCTCTACACTGCTAAGAGATTAAGAGTTTTCACTGCACAACACGCATTGCTGTAAAGCAGCACCATAAGAAAACCCCCGCGTATTATTTGCACCCCCACTTCGCCGCTGAAATTTTCGGGTTTTTGGTGTGGGTTACACACGCAAAAATACAGTATATATAACCACAGAATTACGATGTTATTGAGTAAGGCATGTGAAGTAATAAAAAATGTTGATTCATTTGAATTTTTGTTTTCATAAATTTGGCTGGAATGCAGTACATAAAATGCCTTTTTCTCTTTTAAATGGGTTTCCTTAATAAGAGCTGTCAAATGAGGCTATGGGACGTCTTCGTAGTGGTCTTGTAACATTCATATTACCATCCATGTGAACTGACATTTAAGGTGCATTCAGACGACGAGCCAAACCACTCTTTTGGCCCGCGGCCTCATTTTCATGTGACCCTCCACTTCCGGTTGGGGGAGTCTGTAGCTGGGCCATGGGTCACAAGGGCCAAAAATGCCGAAAACATCTTCACAAACCACCCGCCTTCATCGTTGGCTGCGGGCCGCGCGCTCGGACGGGTGGGCTGTCAACAAGACAGGTTTCTTACTTTTTTTGTGTGTGAAAGCCGAGTACACCGGAGGCACCTCAAACTTGCAAGCTCTCTTTGAAGACGCGCTGCAGCAACGTTTGGGGTTGGAACTGTCCTCAGCCCGGGCTTTATCCCTCCCATTACTGATTGTGCATGTGTACGGGGCAAGCGGACGAGTCGCAGGTGTTTTTGCTGTCACGTGACTAAGCTGTCCGCGGGTCGGTCGGGTGTGGATACACCATTACAAAACCCGGCTTTGAATTTGCATTCTCTATAAAGTTTTTCTTAAAATACATAAAGGATTAGAGGGAGAAGTCTACGATCTGATCAAGTGGTTTCAGAAATTTTCGAAACAATAAAAGTGACGCACCACTTCTTAATCAAAAGTAATTTTGTTTAATACGCTGTCATATTTGCCAAGTCTCCCGGATTGGCTGGGAGACTCCCAGATTTGGACAGTTTCTTCCGTTTGTGCGGGTTTCATGAAAATCTCCCGGAAATTGAAATTTTTGTGCCTGATCCAGCCGCCTTGACAAAAAGTAGCTCAATCCGCTCCAGGCTTTTCGAACCTACCCCATTTTATTATGAATGAGTTTAAGAGGCGTTCATCTAAACATACAGTAGAATCTCAGTGCTGCGAAACCGCGGCAGATACGAATTCGTAAAAATCCTCAGAGAAATTGCACTATGTCTATCGTGCCTAAATTCGAATGTTCCGAGCACATTTCATAATCGTGACTAATGATACGAACTTTAGTACTGGAATCACCAAACAAAGGCCGAGAGCAGCGTACTCGAAGCTTCGGAAGTACGCGTGTGACCGGCGCACGCACTGTCTTCTACAGTGTGCGTGATTTTCGTTGTCACAACCGCTGTCAACGAAACCGTGGTTGCTTTTCAGGCAATCATGTATCACTGACAGTGTCCCGAAATTGTGCGTGCGTCCAACACTCAACCAGTCAAAGCAACACTGCTTTCTGCAAATCCTGCGGACGAAACAGCGGCAGATACGATCGTATACGGCATAAAACGACTTTGTTTTGAAGGCGTGTGCGCAGTAAAGCGCATGGGGATTGAAAAAGGAAGTACCATTTGCCGAAACCGTCGCGCACAACATCGTGGTCGCGGCAGCGCGTTAGCGATCTACGAGCTCTGAGAGCACGCATCAACCCCTCACCCTCCTCCCCCCCCGCGTCGAAAATAAGCGCGCATTGCGACGAGCTGGGCACCAAGCACGGGCGGCTTTTTTCCCATTTTAGAGTGTTAATATTTATAAATAAGTACACATATACAGTGTATGACGGCGGTGGTGGCGACAGCAAAAAACCAGCCTAGACTGTCAATAACAAAAAGGCATGACACGTTTTGGCGTTCCTGTCAAAAGAATCTAGTAGGTATTTGACCCGCGTTTTTGCCGCAGCCAGCTGCCCCGTCCAGTCCGACACGTGTATCCCAGTGAGACATACACGAGCTGTTTTGAAGGAAATAAATCCTGCTAGTAGTGTTGATCCTTTCAGACTCTCACTTTAGTGGGAAACCCTACCTTCGTGTGTTCGGCCACTCCAAGCCGACAGCAACGCCGATGTTTGCACTTGCGACTGAGACTCCCCACCCCCACTCCCTCGTGTTTTTTGTTTGTTTGTCTTTGGGTTTTTTTTTTTTGGTACAAAAAATAGGAACAAATAATTCTGCAGCCCCCTCCCCCCCCCCCCCCCCCCCGCGCTGCAAAAATCTCCCGGATTCAGAATCTTTGAACTTGGCAGGTATGCGCTGTAAATTTTAGAAGTATCGCTGGTTTTTTTCCTCTTTGAAAAATGTTGCCATTGGTATTGCTCATTTGCCCTTATATATCTACTGCCTTATAAGGATTGTAAATTGATACAACAGTGTGCCTGAGTAAAGCTGCACATGTACATAAGTACTTATATTTCTCTTTGTGCTGTGTAACTTTTTTAATTTCTTCTGTTTATTATGCAGGGCTGAAACAGCACAGCATGAGTACCTAGCTCATGAGAGGCTTTATGCTCCCATTGTACCAAAGAAAACAAGTTTAGTAGTGAAGGCCGACTCCTTGGGGATCATCTTCGAGAAAATAAAAAAAAAGCATATATGGAAGTTTCTAACTAGAAACCAGCGAAAGGTTTGTGAAATATTGCATAGTAGTGATGCCGCATAGTCTTTCGTCCTCTAACGTCTTGTGTTCAACTATTAATGGACAGTGTTCCAATAAGTGCATATTGTATTTGTGTACAAGAATTGTTTGTTGTCTTGTGTTATCTAGACGAGTACTATGTAATACATATTACTAATATGTATTACTAATATGGTATTTACAGAAGATAGGTGTTGATCTGTTTTTTTTTTTATTTTGTTTGCAATTAATCAAGTTTTTCTCAAATTAATATACATTTCTTTTTATAACCTATATTCAAAAAAATTGCTTGTTCTACAGGCCATGTTGCCCAATTATACAGTATAAAGTATTTACTAAGTATGAATATCTATTGTGGTAATTTGGAAGGCAGTTATTGCATAAAATGTGAAAAGTTTTGCCATACCTTGCATAATAGGCAGCAGTCTGACATCATTAAATATACAGTAAAAGCTCATTAATTCAAACTCAAAGGGGACAAACAATAATATTTGAATTGAGCAGAGTTCAAATTAGCTGGCGGGTTTTATAATGAAGGAACATCACACCACACTGCATGGATAAAACCCAAAGGAGCCACATCTGGACTCACTATCGCGAATAAGGCACTACTACATGTTTGCGCCAGGCGATTTCGCAGATAAAGTTCATGGAATTTCTAACGGCAAACAAAATTAATGTGTCAAGAAACAAGCACCGACATTCATTCATGTGAGCAATGAGCCGTAACATTATAATACATGATGCTTTTTATGCTCCAAAACATGTTTATTTACGTGGCAAAGTTGATGCAATCAGAATGAAAAGGAATCGGTAATTTGTGTTTGATTACCTTGATTGCCTTCCTCGTGTCGCAACAAAGTGGCATCGTTTGCAGTTTGCTCAAGAGTTCCAGCTCAGCACCCCAATTCTCATCTGCTGAGAAATTATTTTTTTGGGTGTTTTGCATTTCTTGTAAATTTGGTGTCGATTATTTTTGTTACACAATACTACACATTCATTTTTGCATACTCGGGGCCGATTTCTGCTAAGAGCAATAAAAACTAGGGGTTCTCTGTTAGAATTAATAAACTGTTGTGGATACCGATGCATTAGGAGTTTGTTTTCCTCTATAGAAATGTTCAGAGTACGAATTAAAGAGCAGAGCAGGGTATGAGGGGGTGAACCTTTTGCTTCATATTCAATATATTAGCAACATAGACAAGCGAAATGTTTATAACCATTTTCAGACATACCTGGTGAAGACTTCGTGTGTAGCTTTTGTGAACAATGTGGACATCTGCCAAATCTAATTGCGCTCACATTGTTGCAGGTGTGGCATATTCGCTATGACCTGGATCATGTTGATGTGAGTGATGATGAGAACGACGTAGTCAAAGCCTGCAAAGCTTTCAAAGACCCCCTGTTCACAGGTTTGCTTTGTTGCTCTTTATGCTTGTGGTCTCCTTTAATTTGTGGTTTCTCTCATGCTGTCAGGAAGTGTCTAAAAGCTAAAAGTATCAGGAAGTGCTTTAAAAGCTACTTGACCATTGTGTGTGTATGAATGGGCATCATTAAACTAAAATTTGAGCTTTATAATTGTTTAGCACTGTATTTTTTGAAGTTATTAAACGCAATTAATAATTTATGTGAAAGTAAAAGCTCAATTTATGGCATCTAAAATGGCAGTATTATCAACAGCAGTGCCTTGTTTAGGAAGAAATTCAGCTAAATGTGTTACATTACGTGCACCACGAATTGCACATTTGCGAAACAATCCCGATGACGTGAGAACTTCCGACTACAATTAATCGCTAGTAATCAAACAAGCTGCAATAAAGAAAGAACTTTCTATACATCGAGAGACATGAGAAAATGCTGCTTGTCCATTTCTGTATGATTTATAGAAAAACGAACCACCTGGCGTCACTATGGGAAATGACGCGAATGCTTCACAAATTTTTCAGCTGGTTGAGCTGGATCTAGCAGGGCCCAGTTGAACTAAACAAGCAAAACCCTGGCCTCCGAGATTGCAGAAAGTTGTTTAATGGCCGTTATTGCTACTGTGGCTCTGGCTACTTTCGCTCTGCTGCAACTGGTGTCGGTAACCACGTAGTAAAGGCGGTTAACATCGGGTACGGAAACAGCAACGTCTAAAAGATTGCTTTCACACAGGTGATTTGAAGTGCGCTAACTCAATTTGGTCAATCAAAACCTGATTTTATTTCAAAACAAGCACTTCTTCGGTTCAAAAGCAGCACTACGAGGTTTCTTAACCGTTACCATATTTACTTGCATATGAACGCACTCGCATAATAAATGCACCCCCAACTTCAGTCATCAAAATTTTTATTTTTCTTTTACCAGCATAATAAACGCACCGTACAGTCGTCTGCTACAGTCCCACTGACCGACACCTGGCGCCTCCTTGCTCGTTTGATGGATCTCGTCCATTTTTTATTATTAGCCCCCTTCGCCTGGTGCCATGCGCCGTATAGTTCTTTCTATCTGTGCGCAGCATGTACTCAGTGTTTTTTAAATATCTATGTGCCACAGTGCCGTTCACGACCGGTGTGAGTGTAGAGACGTCGCAGCTGATAAGCACACAGCAAGCGAAGGTCACGAAACTGCCCGCGCCAACCTACGGTCGCTTCCTGCAAGTACGAAAATGCTGCTTGCACATGATTTTCAAGCGAGGACGACAGGATTTGCTGACGCTATAGCTGTCGCAAAAGGCCATTCTACGCCATCGCGTCTCAGGTTTTAGAAAAAGCAGAAAGAAATCGCTTGTCGCCCAGAAAAGAGTGTGATTACAGTCGAGCCCCAATGTATCGAACTCCAAGGGGATCATGAAATAGTTGGATATATCGAGAAATAGAAACACAAAATACGCGTATTTAAAGCCTAAATAGAAACATTTGAGGTCTCAAAAATCGTTGCAAGAGCTAACATATGGATTCGCTCACATAATGAAAAACGAGGTGCGAACTGCTTGTTACCGCACTTTATTTCGCATAATAAAAATAGTCCCTAAACTTGTCCTGCTTCTTGCTTGCCGTCAAGTTCCAGTCATCCTCAATATTATTGAAGCTTTTCAAATGAGCAAATTCAGTTTCTTCAGCCACAACAACGTGTATTCACACAGAACGCCGATGCAAGCTTTGTAGTGCGGCAAAGGGTTGGTTTGCGGCGGCAGTGAAGGCGTTGGCACATTTACAAACGCATGGCTACACTTCCCGTGGCACTGGCAACGGCAGCTAAAATCTCATCATCAATGCATTCACAAACAGCTACATCGTTATCTGTACCGATGAAGTCGCTCACTGTCCAAGATGGTGCCCAGAAACGCTGATAAGTCGCATATTTCACTTAGGCACCGTATGTCGTTGTCAGTGGTCATGACGCACCCGAAGTCGTCTCCTCGCTAGCAAGGAATGTTTACGATGGTGTTTTACTTGACGTCGTTCTAAGTGCCAGTCATAACTTTTATCGCTACGTGAGGGTCAACGTTTAATGAACCTCCCGAATGAGGATTTATCAGAAACCAGGCGAGAAGTACACAAGCCACAAAAGACGCAACGCCAAGTTCGTCTGAGTTGTCACTGTTGACATGTTGGCGATATCGATGTCACTTGTGTTTTTCTAGCTGGCAGCCGCTACTTTCAGCTGCTTTGTTGCGAAAAAATTAAAAAAGCGTAGCCTCCGAAACACACGTTTTAAAACCAAAAACACAAAAAATATGTGACAAGGTTGCACACCTCTAAGGTCATGCTTCTCAGGCTCGCATGCCATTGTGCGATAACAAACAAGGAAAGGAATGTGAACATTGCAATGATATCGCCAAGTCACTTCGAATCCTCATTCGGTTTTTTGGAGAACACGATGCCCCTGTGCTAAGACCTGCATATCGCGCATCAAACGTACAGGTGTACTCGCAAGTGCTGTGCAACGAACCAGATCAGCACGATGGAATAACATCATTTTTTCGTCGCCTGCGCGCGAAAAAGGATCGGAACTTGTTAGAATTCAGCCGAAAATTGATCAATACTTGTTAGAAAAAACACACTTTCTGGGTTTCAGCGCAATGCAGCCTTCGATATAGTGGATGTCCGGCTGTGCGGGAGTTAAATATACGGGTGCACCGGTCCCATACTTTTGCACGGGAAATTCAAGGGGATTTTTCAACTGTTCGATATAGCCAATATATGCGGGATCGACTGTATTTCCGCAACATGGTCCCAAATTCTCGCTTCGATTGCAAGCGAGGTGGCCACTGTATTTTGTCGTTAATCTTGTAATCGACAGCTTGTTTTGATGCTTCGGTGGTAGCTTACTGCAATGTTGATTGCTTGCTACCATGTCAACGGCGGCGGCGCGGTCTTCGTGCGAGGTTGCCACAAAGTTGGCCAAGTGCGTCGAGGCATCGTAGCGCACTCTTCTGGGTGCCCCTCGAGATCACAGCAGATGCTATTGTTGCGGTTAAACGATTGCGAAAAAAGATAGACATGAAACGCTTTTATGGCGTGCACGGGCGGCGCAAGAACAGCCTGCAGAAAATTGTGCCTTCAACCACCAAAGATTAGTGAAAAGCCACAAAGAAGCTGAACGACCTAACTTTTTTTTTTTTGCATAGCCGCTTTTGTTTGTTTTGTTTTTTTTTTTTTTTTGCTCATACCGAAAACGTTTTCATTAAATTTTTCCCGCATAATAGACGCATTTTCCGAAAAAAAAAAAAAAGTGCGTTCAGTACACAAGTAAATACAGTATATCAACAACCGATGTCAACTTAATATTTGCCTTTAGTGTCCCTTTAGGTCTGGGAAGCTAAATTCTAGAAGTGCTTTATAACAGGTATGCGGTCAGTGTTTGAGTGCAACTTTTACTTATCAAGATCAAAATCATTTGATGTAAGCTGCCAAACTGGGCCCCTATACACTTAATTTCGTTTTGCATGCTGTTGCATACATGGATTAACACACAAAACATGTCACTACCAAGTTAAGAAAAGCAGTGGTATACATAGTGACTAAGTCATTCGGTTTTGCAAAAGCCCTATTTACATATAAGCTGCATATTCTAGAAGATGTTCATCATATTTATTTTGGCTGCTTTAGATGTTTTGCTAGATTAAAATTAGGGCATTGTGGCATCATTGCTGACTTAGTAATTTTAAACTTTTTTTTATTATTTCTTATACAGTCGAGCTCACATATAACGGCCCCACTTAAGCCAACTTTCGCTTACAACGAAAGTCTATGAGCACCGCCAATCGGTTCCAGCGAACAGAGTCGGCACTATGACTACTTCCCGGGACACCACTTTCGACCACCGATAAGCCATCGACGAGGTGCCCATAGATTTTTATTGCTAAACACCGAACTTGTCTTCGCAGCTCTCTAGTTGTCGCTCTCCCCGACCATTTTTGTTACCCACCCCTCCTTCCTTTAGCCCCCTCGCTACTTGAGTGCCCCGCATTGCCAGACGAGGCCTGTGTTTTCACACTGCCACTGATTTTCAAAGACAAATCAGCTGATTAGTCTCCTTTCAGTTTTTATGGCTGGTCTTGTCACGCTGTCGTTGGTGACGCAGGCCTACAGTGACCAACCAGACCATCTGCCAACATCGTCGGTCACCAACTGTACCCGATCATCTGCGTCTTGTCTGGATCGGTGTCGTATCGTTCCAGCACACATGCTTGCAGAACCACTTCTCGCTCACTTTGCACTCCGCTCAGCATGCCCTCCAAATACGTGCGGAAGCCTAAAGACGGCTGTTACACAGAACGAATCGCGAATAATGAAGGCGATGGGGCCAGAGGCGCCACAATGCGATTCTTTGACCTTTGCTCATGCAGGCCACTCTCCCAAGTTTTTCTACGTGAGAGTTGTGCATTTCGTGGGCATTTCAAACCAAGCTACCCAACCAGCCTTCTTCCCGCAATTTGTGGTTTTCTAGGTTGTCTTCCCACTATACACTCCCCTCTCTTCACTCTATCGCAACTCCTTCGGCTCTCTCTCGCAAGCCTGCTTCCACTCTTTATGGTCTTTATCGCAACTCCTTCGCATATCTCCACTGCTCTATGAAGCCAGCCACTCTGGCTCGAATTAAGAAGTTTATTTTTCTGGCGAAAAACAAGACCACAGCAGTTCCACGTGTCCCGACTTGATGTCGTGTGTGCACGTGACATCGTCATTCTCGCTGTTGTTGTGCGTGTGTGGTCACGATGGCAGACAGGAGTTCGTCCACGCCCTTTCCCGTTGCTCAACACAGCGTTGAAAGTGCAACCGCTAGGCTTGGGCGTAATTCGTGCGTTTAAGACTTATTATAAGTGCCACATTGTGGAGTGCTTGCTCATATCTGTTGACTGCCTGGCAGCCAACTGTTTGAAAGCTGTGTTCAATTTATTGCAAACTTTGGGATACAGCGAATGGATGCCACGTCACGTTCAGGTTCGTTATGAGGGGGCTCGATTGTATTTCAAAAGTTCGGGGCTTATCGAAGATTTCATATAGGAGCAGAAGGTGGCATAGGTAGCACTGGCCTTGAAAAGATAGCAGTCTGCCATGCTGGGATAGCAGGGACTGCACAAAGAAGCAGAGAAGGCACCGCCGGCACAGTTATTTGGCTGCACAAAATAACGCTACAGAAGGATGGTTGCTTGCTGGGCTAGTTGGCTCATTTCAACTTATGTAACAGTGCGTAAAACTAGAAAAGACGACACGTACAGAGAGCAAGGAGCGCTGACTTCCAACTGTTCTGTTCCATTCACGAAGCCAGGTGTAAATACATGCGCAGAGCCAGCAGGTAAAGAAACGAAATACAGCTAAACCTGGATATAAAAAAATTGACAAATTCCCGAAAAAGATTCGTTATAAATAAGATTTTGTTATGTGCAGGTTTGGTACAAAATTTTGTAAAATAAACGTACAAAGTAAACAAAAGGGGAAGGTATAGCTCAATCAAAACACTTATTTAGAGGTAAAAAATTGCTATTTTTTTTACAGCAATTGTAAGGACACTCTTGACGAGTTCTTGTCGTCGACGCCATGTTTCATAACAAGTTCAAATTGATGACATGTCCCCCACCCCTTCACTCGCCACGCATTGAAACTTTTACAAGCAGATAAAAGCTCGCGAGCGCTGCTGAACCAGAGATCAAATATGCCGGCCCATCTCTACCGCCTGGAGGGTGCACACAATAATATCCTCCCGCATGTTAGGACTGCTGTCATGCACATTTCAGGAGCCCATTTTGGTCCTCTGTATACATTGCATATCACATTATCAAACTGCCATGTATAATTCATACGGAGTCGGGAGAACAGTAATTTTTGTGCTATCAGGCAGAAGTTGCACTCAAACCAAACATGAAACATCTCACACTTCACTTATGCAACAACTCATACTAAAATCCCATTTCTTTTCATCCACATTCAGGAGGCTATGAGTGTCCAGCAGAGATTTTGCCTTATGACCCTGTGGCCCATGAAGAAAGAGCAAGAGAAATCGAAGCTGACGTCGAAGACTTCGGCAATTCAGATGTGAACATGTATTTCAGTGTTGACCCAAACGATATTTTTAGTGATTTCACTGAATAGCCATACCAGAAGGATGACAGAGTTTGCGGCGTTTCACACTCACCCCTCCACTTCCCTTCTTTCCTCCCTCTCTCTTTTTCTTTTTTAATGCAAAGTTTGCACCACTGACATACAATACTAAAATTTTCATCTTATTGTCCATGTTCAAACATGTACTTACATGTATCACCTTACTGTGATAGCTGAAAAAGTTTCAGCAAAGAGCTTTTACATTTTGAGACAAATAAAGATAAGTTATTTGTGATTCTCTTGTCAAGATATTTTTTCATGCTTTTTTTTTTTTTGCTGTCAACTTACGTGCATATTTATGTATGTTCAGGTGAGAGGACTGTAGCAAAGGTGCTCCAGTGTCTGTTTTTTTTTACCACTTATTCTCGGTTGTTGTGTTAGAAAGACTAGGTTCCTTTGTATAATAATATAGCATACATAGCATCAGAACGGACAATCGGGCCAGTTGGTGTGCTTCCATTTTGAACTAATATTAGTGTGACAAAAACAAGGACAGGAAAGAAAAGACAAACTACAATGTCTTTTATTTCCCGCCCCCGTGCGCTAGTATTCGTTCAAGATGGTAGCTTATATAGATTGCATTTGGTCTTGATATAATGTAACAATAAGCAGCTCTCAGCAAAGCAACTGCTCTCTCTTGTAGCTGCTGTTGGAAACTCATGAAAGTGTTTTGCAGACCAGTGGGGCCCTATGTAAGAAACTATTGTGTTATACATTAGCTGTGTACCTGTAGGTTGTGTACTGTGGAAGTGTCGGGACGTGGGCTTGTTTGTATACGTTCATTTTAACGGTGCAAAAAAGGACTGGACACTGGAAAAGGAGCTACAAGTGCTTATAGGTCATGTTTTCTTAATGGTTGAAATATTATTGATAGCTACTAGCCAACCTGGTCACTTTTTGACCTTATGTAAAATTTCTGTCATCTGCCGGAGGTATGGTGAAGCTACCGATCCGTCACCATGTCAAAGGCTTGTGTCTGAATCGTATTGCTGTCGCTTCTTGCTTGTATCTGCTTAGAGAGTGGGCAATCTGGGAAAAAAAAATGTCATACAAGTGTGCAAGGGCCTGTACACATTACCGGCATTTTTTAGTGATACGTTTAGAATGATTATGTGTAAAGAACTGCATCGTAACGGGAAGTACAAGTTGGTCAGAGAGTCAGCCTGTCATCGTTGAGGCTGAAACCATGCACTAGGTTATAATTTTGTCTCTCTGTTTTAAGTGGAGTGATTAGGTCGGCAGCTATCTAAATATCTTGAGTGTAGTGTAGGTCAGTTGGAAGGAGCCTTTAGAGTGCGAGAAGGCGAGGCACAGCGAATATTGTAAAAAGTGTTGGTGGTCTTTCATGTTTACTTGTGAAGCAGCCCACGAAGGCAAGGCACAAAAGGAACGAAAAAAACGGGCAACCGCTGCTACTGATACATTTCAAAGTGCACTACACTAGGGACAGTCTATGTCGACTTGATGTAGAGGGAATTTAATATTAAAACAAATTTCGTACTCTTTATATTTCTGAAGCAAAAAATATTTTGCTGTTGTAGTCCTGACGTATGTTATGTATATAATTATCCTACCATTAAAATGTAAAAAAATGTCCGTCTCTTAGCCACATGAAAAGTGTTAATTGCTCTAAAAAGTATGTGCTGATTAGTTGGCATATTATTGAATATTCTTCTGACGTATGCTTAAAAATAACACGATACGCAACAAATATTAACATTTCTATCGTCACTGTTGGGGCCTACTGATGCCTTACAATTTCAACCCATTTCAACAAGACAGTTTTGCGTCGCCTTCTGAACGCTTGCAAAACTGCCTGGAAATGTAATCAACGGTAGCGCACCACAGTTGAATCTTAAGACATCTCCCAGAACAATCTTCTTTTTTCAGAATTACATAGGAAAAGTGCCATACTCAATAAAGCTGCTGTGGTAGCTCAGTGGTTAGAGCATCGAACGCGTTATTCAAGTGCCATACTCAAACATCTGTTAACATTTCACAACTCGCAGGGGTTGATGCGGGATTTTTGTGAAGGGAAGATCGGCTTCTGCAAGAACCTGATATGTGCTCTTCTCAGGTCATAAAAAAAAAAACAAGGGGGTCGTTAGCAGAGTGCTTGATTTGGCTAATTGGTGCATGGTGCTTTACTAAGAATACAACAGCGTTCAAGACGGGATGAGAGGAAAATGCAGTGTCTGTCTTCTTCTTCTTGTCCTACCTTTAGCGCTGTTTTATTCTTCATGAGGGCACGGTCAGGCCATCCAAGCCACTCATTCATTCATTGGCAGTGATGGCACACAAAATGGACAAAAAATACACATAGCAAAACACTACACATGCAAAGCATCTCGCCAAGCGCTACCTTCTTTCTAACATTTGCCCGCCTCAACCCTCCCGAAACAAGTTCCTGCCTATGCCACTGGCTTCAGCACAATTGGTCCGTTTACTGAGAATCAATTACGCACATGAGTAGCTGTCTAACATTACTACTTATTGCAACGTTATAAACCCAGTACACTCAAACCTCATAACAGTCACACCTGCCACGAAAATGTTTTATTATATCCGAAAATTCGTTATAAACATATTTGCAGCACTGTATTTATGAGAGAGCTATTCGTGTATTTCGTTATAACCGATAATTTGTTATATCCGGGTTTTTTATATCCAGGTTTGAGTGTAACTGTGTTAACAGCAGCGCAAGCATGCCAATGTAGCCACGATCAATGCAGCTTTGTAGCTTGTATTCAAATCGGGTTCGTCTATGAATGCAAGCACACAGCCCGAAAACTGTCATTCCAGGATGGCGCAAAAGCGTGTTCTCTGATGAGTGCCGATGGTGTAAAAACTGCATTTTTTATAAGCAGCAGCTGGAGCAATAGAACTATCTTCCTCTTCTTGCGGACGTGATCAAATCTAATAATATGGAGGTTAGTTTCCTGGAACTTTTTTTAGCATCCCGATTTCCTCAATCTGAGCAGCACTGAACACGAAAATGTCTGGGAATTGCCATTTTTATTGGTGCCATACGTCAATGTGTATGCTTTGTGGGTGCACATGTGGAGAGCGCCTATCTTTCAACGTGGCAGAAACGTGTAAGGTGGCCGCTAGATGTCAGCAGATTTTGCTAGAAGTACAAGAAAAGCATTGGCAGCAAAGGGAAAGAGGAATGCTGCAATAATAAAGCACAGAGCGTTATAGGGATACAATAGTTACAGAGTGCTTCAAGGTCTGTGGAAAGGCGTAATGGTTCCGGTGCTCACATTTGGAAACTCGGTGCTGTGCATGAAGTTAGAGGTCCAATCAGAAATTGATGTAAACCAAATAACTGTGGGACACCTCGGCTCACAAAAATACAACAAATGAGGCTGTAAAAGGGAGTATGAGATGGACAGGCTTTGTAGTAGGGGAAGCTGACAGCAAAAAGGAGATTTGGAGGAAGGCTTAGAAAAAAAGAGAGTAGATGGGCAGGAAAGATGTTCGGGTATTTGTCTAGGAAGAGCGTGGACACGAAGTGGAAAAAGAAGTCTGGGAGGCTCGCTAGTAAATATGCGGCTGGCAGTGTGGACGATATGGCAACAAGGAGCATTAAAGAGGCTAAGAGGATTTATTGGATAACGGCGATGGAAAAGAAGCCGGCTCTCGGTAACTATCAAAAGGGCTAAAACGAAATAAGGAGGGAGAGGTTTTATGATAATTCAAGGGGAAGCGCTTTACTGTTCGAAGCGAGGTCAGGTTGCCTTAGAACACAGTTATAAAGCAAGGGTCAATAAAGTTGTTCACAACAATATACGTTCTGTGGGAAAGCTAAGGAAATGATGGAACATGTTTTGATTGAATGTGGCGATATCTACCCAGGTATACATGTAGGTACAAGCCTACATGAGGCCTTGGGTTTTTGGGACAACCATCAAAAGCTGAACACGTCCGTGATAGAAGCAAGTAAGAGACGATTAGAGTGTTGGTGGCAGAAAAGTAGAGATCAAGGACAGAAATAATGGGGAAAATGAGGTCATTCTGCCTAAAGAGGCAGAGAGATGGAGTGTAAATTTATAATTTTCTTATAAGATCGTTTTAAATGAAGTAGATGAGGCGTTAGGCCGTATATATTGTCAATAGGTGACCTCCCGCAGTCCGGAGGTTAGGTTCATGTCTCCAAGGTGTCGTTACCTTTCGTAGCTGTGCAACGAGGTCAGCGCTTATCACGGAATAATCGGCACCCTTATCTACCAGAGCAGTTAGCGGGTGGTTGCCGACAAGAACGGGGATGCGAGCAGAGACACGTTTGTCGTGGATGGCACATGTCGGTGAAAGGATGCCATTGGATGTCTGCAGGCAGTTCGGGGGAGGGTCTAGTAACGATCGATCAACAGCAACCTCACCCCCAGAGATCGCTGTTCTTAGTTTTCCCGGAATAGGTTTATGCCCCTGACACACGGGCACCCTAAGTCAGACATAGGCTATATTAACATGCAGAGTGGCAGGAATAGGTTAAAGTAGGAAGAGATAGAAGAGCAGTTGAGGCAGGAGGAACTGATGGTATATGGCGTTGTGGAGACACATCTTTGGGACATGGAGCAACCCCAGTTAAAAAAAGCAATTGAAACCAATTGGAAAATTTCCACCTGGTCCAATTGGTTCCAATTGTGAATTAGTACACAATTGAGCCAATTGGACCAATTGGTTTTACACCAATTGGTTTTACACCAATTGGTATAGAACCAATTGGTCCAATTGGTTGTGCACCAATTGGCCCAACACCAATTGGACCAATTGTGTATAATTCACAAATGGAATCAATTGGTTTTATGCCAATTGGCTCAAATGGTATAGTATGGCATGACCAATTGGCATCTAACCAATTGGACCAATTGTTTATATGCCAATTGGCTCAAATGGTACAGGACGTATTGATTAATGAATGCATGTAGACACCTTTGACAAAAATGCAATTATTGTAAAACAGAACATCTTTTATTTACAAACATAATATGCGGTATCTTGCCATGCAGGTCCAGCACTTTGCTACAGCCACATTGGTTAGTCACGCTGCACCCTGCAGAAACAATAAACAAACAGCATTTGCATGAAGGCTAGTTTCATTACAGTTAAAAAAAAAGTGGCTCACAATGAAAAGTGGAATTAAATGCACTTTAGGTTCAATACACATTGAAGTAGAGCCCCAACTTATCAAGCCAAAATTTGTTTACTACTGAAGTTAAAAAAATTGCAAAA